GTTAATATTTTAAATTAAATACAAACAATTAATATTTCCCCAGGAATTTTAATTGTGAAAGTTGTGATATAATAATTACCCGGAATTTTGATGATATTTCTATGAGCTTTTTCAAATATTTATTATCAAAATAATATATGTGTTTTATCAAATAATTGAATGAAAATTTAAAATTATATAATTCTCAATTTATTAAATATATTTATACCAATAAATATATAAATTTATATTAAATAAATATATCAAATATATATTTAAATTATTATATATTATATATTTATTGTATTATTAATATAATATCAATTATTTAATAAGAAAAAGCTTTATTATGCAAGAAATATTTCAATATTTTATTTTTTATAAATCTAATGAACCTAAATAGCCTATACGGACTTATCAGTGCGTTTATTTTTTCAGATGCTCATGAGTGTTTTGGAATTGATAATGAAATATACCCTATCGAAATAAAGTCTACACCAAGTAATGATGAATTGCTTTCTATTGCAATTAATCAGCAAAAAAGAATTGTATTAAATGGTCAAACAAGAAATAAAATTATGAACCTTTTGAATACAGATAATTTAAAGGAATGGTATTGTATTTTAGAATCATCCCAAAATGCTCTTAATGTACCACAGGGACTTTATAAAGAAATGGTTCCTTATGATTTTATTGCCAGAGCTTCAGTGATTTCAGCAAAAAAATTACAATTAGAAGATTTTATTTCATTTTTAGATTCACATTTTGGTGAGAACTTTTTTCCAAAATTAACTTTTGAAGATGCATCTGTAATTGTATTTATTAAAGTTACAATTCCAAATTGGTTTGATCGTTTAAAACAATCATACCAAGTAGATATTTCACGTTACATTAAATACATATCATTTGCTTTAAAAACGGTCATAGAAAAAATAGAAAATCTAACTATTGATCCGTTTTCAAACAATACTGATATCAAAACATGTTCAGCGAGCCAAAATATTCTTCTTTATTTAAATAAAATGTTTAAATGAAATTAGAATTTTGCTATTTAAATTATGAATAGATTGGGATCAAAATTTGATTGAGATTACAAAAAGACTGAGAATAGGAGTGAAATGAAATCAGAATTGAATTTTGATTAATTAATAAAAAAAGCAATGGTAACTAAAATATGAATACAAATGAGGGAAAAAATAAAAATCATGATTTGAGAAAAGATCATAAACGAACTTTTTCAAAAGGTGATAATTAAACCAAGCAAATTACATTTTCAAAGCATGCAAAGAAATTATCAGGTATATTTTCATAATTTCTTGTAAGAAGAAACTAAAATAAATAAAATAAAAAAATTATTGTATTCAAGGTGATAATAATGAAAATTTGTAATTATGAAAATATACCTGATTCTTCTTTTGATTTGATCAATCAATTAGATTTTCAAATAGAATCAAGAGGCGAAATATTTCTGAAGGGAAAAGGTAAACAGCAAGCCTACCTAGTGTCTGCAGCAAAACCATTCAACGTTAATTCTTCTGTTACTGAAAGTAAAGAGAGTTGATAATAAAAAATGTGGAATCAAACATATATTAAACTGGTAAAGTATACAAAAAAACCAGTTCCTAACCGCTAAAAACCAGTTCCAAATTTTAATTTCAATTGTTTATATTTTATTTTTTAATAATAAAAACGATAATTGAATGGTTTATATTAATCATTATTGAATATAGGTCCCACCGATAAATTTTATTTGAATTTTTGTATAAATGAACTTTTTGAATACTCAATTGTTTAAACAATAGCACATCATTTAATTAAGAGTATTCAACAGAAAGGCTGCTACCTAGAGAACAAGAAACCTATTGGATCAGAAGTACTTTCGATTTTGTGTGTGTTGAAACAATGGTCGCATCAGAAATGTATCAAAATTGTTTTGACTATAGATCTCAATGTCATCACATATTTTCAAAAAAATCTTGTAAAGAAAACAAGTTTCCCGCTTTAAGAACATGCTAAATTATTGAATGATACCTCTATATGGCTGAATTTTTAAACTTTTTTGAATATTATTAAAATTATTTTTCGAAATTTGTTAAAATTGTTTTTAACTTGTGATGAACATAATGAACCAAATGATGGAATTGTTGTATCATTCTTTTTTGGTCAAGGAATCTGATTTTCATAGAGATATTTTATTATTCACTTTTGCCCAGAAAAAGTCGAACTTTTCCAAGGGAAAAGTGAATTTTAAACATCCCTAGATTTTCACCTTATATTCACCATTTTTTTATCTTTTAAAATTATTTGAGAAAAAACATTTATTATTCTCAAAAATTTAGCAAATTCAAAGAATAAAAAATATCTTATCAGAAAATTGAAAGAACAAAATTTTGGGAACTGGTTTTTATCAGAAAGGAACTGGTTTTTTTGCATACTTTACGCAAATTTTAAACTTTTCAAAAAGTTTTTAGCATTGAAATTTCTTTTGAATTTTGAATCATGTTCTCAAAATTGAAAGGTTTAAAATTTGCGTACCAGTTTAATTAAATAATGCTGCTACCATATGACAGCATTCATATATAAAACTAATTAATTAATTAATATTTTTATTCGTTTTAATTATAAATTTTGAAAACCTTGAGTTCAACTTTTCATTTTTTATTCTTTTATCAAGCTAAAAGAAATTAAAAAGGAGTAAATATGAATAAAGTTCTATATTGCTAAATGTAATAGGACAGAGAGCACGAGGGGCTTTGGCAATAGCGTTGATGGAGATCCGGGCAGGTTTGGTAAGGGTTCCCCCTGCAAATAATATCAGGGAAACATTTCAAGAGGAGGTGGAAGTGGCCGATATGGACCTTACTCTTATGCTTCAGGTGGCGGCTGTGGATAAGGCTGGTCATTCACCATTTCTAGCATTGAAGTGTGAGAGAAAGACGACTATTCAAAAGCATCAAAGTTTGCTTTGAACGGAAAGTATAGCTTAACCGAGAGGCATGCATTGCCGGCAACTAAGAATTCCCTCGTCAGGATGGAAATGAAACAGATCATAATGGTAACGGTTTTGCAAAAATCACGCCAATATAAAGTGTTTTTTTTAATATTAAAATACCTTTAATATTATGGTTCTCCTTCCCTAAAAAAATGCAAAAAACTGTTTATTCCTCTACAGTGAGCATATTTTCATGAAAAAGTTGATTTTGGTGTTATTATATGTATATAGATTTTTTGATATATAAATAATCCCCTTTAAAATAATTCAAGTTGAATTTATACATATAATTTTTTATAAATGATATATATATCTGTACGATGAATATTTCCAACTGTACTTGATTTTTTTTTTAATTCCTTTTAAATGGAAAACAAGACAAACTTTTTCAATTAAAAAACAAGACAAATTTTTTCAAGCACCTATATTCTTTTCTTTCAATTAAAAAGAAACCAAGATATTTGCTAAATCATTAGTAACTTTTAAATTTACAATATATCGTATTATATTCCATTTAGAAATTTCGACATTTGTCTTGAATTGATTGACTACATTTTGAAAACACTTGAAAATTTCTTGAAAATTTAAAAATGTATGCTACCTCTCAATTAAAAATTTTAACTATCAAAGGATAAACCTTATAATATCAATGATATATAATAAATGACTACAAATTAGATAAGAAACATCTTTGTTCTTTAAGATTTTTTGGTGATTAAGAAAAATTGTTTGGAAGAGAAAAAAGAAAAAGATCTTTAGATATCATTTTTGTTCTTATATTAGTGCAATATTAACTTAAATAATGGAAATAAGGGCGCATATTTCTAGAATAAGTAAACAAAATAATAATATAAATAGATATATATCTTTACAATAAATATTGTTCTACATTATATATTAAAAGAAGAAAGAGTAATAAAAACGTATATAAGATTGTTTTTTTGAGAATGATTTTATTCAAAATTAATTCTAAATTAATTTAGCTTAGTTATTTAATTTATTCTTTTTTCTGGAAGAAATTTTTAATTCTCTCCCATGCACTAGGTTTTTGTTGCTTTTCATCTAAACGTCTGTTTATTTCATTCATTTCAGCATTTTTTTCTTCAAGCTGAGCGCTCATTTGGTTTGCCATTTGATTCATTTTTTCTAAATCTGCCATAATTTTATCAAGTCCTGATGATTCTTCTTGCTCTGTTGACAATTGTTCGGTTTCTTCAGAAGGATTTGATGGGGCATTATCTTGTTGATTTTCGTTGGTAGAAGGCTGCTTTTCTGCTTCTTCTATTCTTTTATTTAGTTCTTCGAAAAAAGCTTCATTCTCGGCAAGTTGTTGGACGACTTTTAGTGTTGTTTGATGGAGCCTTTCTGTTTGGGCCCTCATTTCTTGTAATTGGTCCTTTCGGGACCTGAGCTGTTCGGAAGCGTTTTGGGACATTATAAATAATCTAATAGTGAATTAATTCACCATTATAATGTCTATTGTCAAAATTATCGCATTCGCTTTCAATTTTTATTTAGAAAATGTGAAGTGAATAATTTCACTGAATATTTGAATACTTTATATATTTGGTTCTTTATTTTTCTTAATTTTAAGAATTTTGCTGTATAACAATATTATATGAAATATTATATATCATAGTTGCCAACTATCATTCAATATTTCTATTAACACTAATAATATTTTGTATGAGATATTTCAAAATTATTGATTTATTGATGGCTGTTTGAAAATAAGCTCTCAATCGGTATCATTTTGCGAGATCTCAATTTACATCCAAATATTATATGATACGCTTGAAAAAGTGATCGTTTGCATTGAAATTACCAATTTCGACGATCATATATTTTTATTAAGAATATTATCTTATTACCCAACTTTCTTCTTGCAATAATGGTTCTTCATGACAAGATATTCTCTTTTGCATAATTATGCTGATTGAAAATTCAAATAATTGAATGAAGCTCAGAGGATTCAAGAATTTTATTTATTTCCACTATTTTATAAATATAAATTAAGTTATATTTGAAAGCCTCTGTAGTATAATGGATAGAACAAGAGCCTTCGAAGCTTTTGATATGGGTTCGATTCCCATCAGAGGTATTTTTTTGATTTTTTTTCTCTCCTTAATGTTATATGGATAAATCTCTAAAAGATTTTATCTCATTAGTTGATCAATTTTTTTTTTCTTGAAATTATATTACAGTCTTATTCTCTAATACCATTCGTTGTTATCATTTAGTTTCAATTGAAAACATTATGATGATGATGAGTAAGTTAAATAATAATGAGTTGATTAAAGATTTTCTCTTTATTAAATTAATTATTGGAGTTTTCTAAAAATAAAAAATGGTTTTCAATTTTTGAATTAGTAGTGTAGGGGAGGCGCGTCTGACTACAAGATACGAATTCGTCGAAAATGGCCCTTAAATGGGTAGTTACGAGCATGGAAACGCGTTTTTCGAAAGTCCCAAAAAGAGCCCCAAATGGGCCTTAAATGGGCCGTTTCCGTGACGACAAGCACATCGTCAGAACAGCGGTTTCAGTGACTCCGACGTGACATGTCCATCGTGTATTTCTCGCGTGAATCGCACACTCGGAGGGTCTAGTTACGATGCTCGAAATGGACGACTACTAGATACGAAATTCGTCGAAAATGGCCCTTAAATGGGTAGTTACGGCACTCGTGAGAGATCCTCGTTTGTGACCATCCCGTGACGATTTTCGTGGTGGTTATGCCCGGTAAAGAGTCTCGTTAGTGAGTGAAATGGACGACTACTAGATATTGTTTATACCTCATGAGCGATAAATAGCGGGGTGGGTGAGTGTGGGTGATCTCGTGGATGGGTGATCTCGTGGGGGGTGATCTCGTGGGGGTGATCTCGTTACCGACCTACCAACTTTTTAGTCGAAACCAAATGACCTCGAAGGGTAAAACCGGAATGAAAGAACTGATGGACATTGTCCTTGGGTTGAAGCAAGACGTGAAGCGCATGAACAGCCTCATCTCTCCACAAGGTGCTCAAAGTTTGGTCGAGAAGCACAATCATTCGAATCCGAATAGTCGATGGGCACTCAAGAAGCTCGATGTTAATGGACCTGCCGTTCTGAATAACATGCCTGATGTCAACAACGATGGCGTCCCTGATGTAATCATCGTCGACAAGAACAACAACCCAGTCTACGCGAACGGATACACAACAGTCCAATCCGACTGGCCAAACACTTTGGCATACCATTCAACATATCCCGACAAAGCATCTCGTGCTGAATATAAGCGACGACATGACGGTAAAGCCATCACGAAACGTGGCTTCATCAATGACACATTGGGTGTCACCTACTTTGACTACGATAGTGCACAACATCCTGAGCAAATCCGTCAAGTAGGTACCGTCATCGGAACTAACCTTTCTCAGACTCCTCAATGGTACCAGAACGTATTGGAGAACCCCAAGAGTGGCTATCGAATGAAGAAGCCTCGTAAACAATCCGCTTACGAGATGTTCAACAAGTACGTCTTCACTGATGCCTTCAATGCTGCTATCGCTCAGATCGAAGATGCCCATCACACCACCATTCCTGGGCAACATAAGATGGTCCTCCATTCGAAGTTATGCGGTAGTTACTGGAAGTCTCAGATCAAAGCCGCATTGAATCTCCCAGACGATATTCCTGATGACCAATTCGACAAGATCAAGCGTAAGAAGAACTCACAACCAAGCATCGAAAACAAGGTCTATTCATTAATGCTCGCCCACAGAGACAACAGTAACACACACGCATACGATACATTGTATTATCGTCTCATCAGGGATATATGCCAAATCTTGAACCTTCAATTGACTCCCGCTCTTCAACCACCTGCCAACTACCCTGACCCTGATAGTCTTGATGGTCACGCAGCTTCGTTTATGGGACCATCCTCTTGGGCAGCTCCACCATCATCAGTAGCATCTGCTTGGGCAGCTCCACATTCATCACCAGAAGCAGTTCCAGTAGACGATGGAGAAGCTTTCTTGGAGTAAGCTGATGAACCACCCACTAGACGATACCTATTTTTATGGCACAGAAACCATGAGTACATCTCTGTCAGACATCGTTAAAGACAAGGTCCATGAGGTACTGTCCACTAAGAAGAACGACATGAGTGGAGCCTTCATAGACAAGGTTCATCCAGAGATCAACGTTAGATACAACTCCGTTAACGTCATTGTCGGTAAGCAAGGTCAGGGGAAGACAGTCATCGCGTTGGAAGAGATCATCAAGATTGCATTAATGGATACTCATCATCTACTCGTCTACGTAACCAAAGATGGGAATGAAAGTGATCGATCCTTCCTCGCCTTGAAATCACTGATAGAACCTCGTTTACCGATCATCACCATCAGTGAATCATCAGCGGAAGCAACCATAGAGAAGCTCATTAAAGCCAAGAACGAGTACTATGCCATCACGAACAACCATCTCGAAGACAAACTAGACGACCCCCAACTCAACATCACCCCAAAAGAGATCCATGACCTCTTCGATACCCTCCACATCGATGACTTCCATCGGAAGTACCTCCATACACTCGTCCTCTTTGATGACATCAGTAACAGCAAACTCTTCACGAATGAGACATCGTACTTCTCTCAGTTACTCCGTCGTTGTCGACACACCAACATGACCTTCTTTCTATTGATTCAGGGATGGAAGGGCCTGAAGCCGCACATCAAGAACGAGATCACCACGTTGATGATATTCCCCTGTTTCAACAAACAACAACTGAGGTACATCTATAGTCAGTCCGCATCGAATCTCTGTTTCGACGACTTCTACGAAAAATATGAGCAGATCATGTCGTTGAAGACCAACTATCCCGACTCCCATCCATATATGGTCATTCAGGTCGTTGACGGTGGCGAGACGTTCATTCAGGTATGAGTTGATTGAAGTAGTCTTGTATCGACTGCAACGCCAACTTGATGTTTTTGATGTCGTCACTCATCTCGGATATCTCGTTCTCGATAGCCATGAATCTCTGTTCCGTCTCCGAGTCATCTTCTTTGGGTTTCGTCGCTTTCGGGGCTTTCTTGAGTGATAGCACACCTTTGATTCTCGTGACACGATATCCGTTGATGTGGTACATCTTGTTGAGCTTGTGGGTGGTTAGCTTGTCCATCTCTTCTTGATGGGATTTGTACCATGAGTCGAAGTCGTTAGGGGTGTCGAACTCTTTGAGGTAGTGCGTGATGGGCTCAATTACTTTGACGTCCATGTTTGAGTCAACACAAAAATAGGTAAACCTTATCGATCGATTCCGAAACAGATCAATCATTAACGAACTCATTCAATCACCTCCGAAATGGGTGTACCCGAAATCACGCGGACCCGAAATCACATCTTACCTTGGATGGATAAGACGGTTGCCGAGGCTTCGTTCATGAGCTATCCAGTCATCAATCGCTGAACGCCCATTCGTTTTGATGTAGTTGTCGACCTTGTCTGATATCGAGACTGCTTTATCACCAGCTATTCCAGTGACTTTGCTTGCGACACCAATAGCGTTACCAACCTTTCCACCGATTGCGTTACCGATGGTTCCCAATATGGGTGCTACCGTGTTCTTGACGACCTTACCGACTTTCTTGGCGATGGGAACTACTTTCTTGATCCCATCTACGATCTTCTTCCCGAGTTTTTTGAACCAGGTTCCGAATGCCATGTTTGTGGTGATACAAAAAAGTGATTTCAACGAGGTTAGAACCCCATCGACAGTTCCGATTTTTTAGTGACAACCCAAATGACCTACCAGAACGCTCAATTCAAGAACTCCGGCAATGACGAGGGAGATGTCCTCGACTTCTTCAACGATACTCTCCGTAACCTCGTCCAAAAGAACGGAGGTGACAACACATTCTCTTTCGTTACCGAAGAGTTCCTCAACAAAGATGCTCCAATGCCAGTCGGTACCAAAACTCGCTTGAAGCTCACTCACTCAGGTCACACCATCAGCCAAATCGAGAAGGGATTCATCAACGCCACAGTCGAATTCAAGGTCAAGTTCCAGAACAACATCGCTGCTGACGCCATCTCTAAGATCGATACAGAAGGGTTGAACCTCATCTTCGTCGGCTTCAAGAACTCCGTTGAATTCATCGAAGACTGTAGATTCTGGGTGAACGGCAAGCTCATCGACACCTATCGCCAAGACGAACTCATCCGCGAATCATTCGCATACAACTCCATCAAAGCACGTGACGCTAAAGCAGCCAACCCTCATGCACACTCCATCTGGGAGAACGTTATGAACTACATGCCATGCAAGTGCGGTGTCTACATCCCATTAGCCAAGTTCGAAGGTGGAGCAACCGTTGACGTCAAACTCGATCTCATCATCCCATTCACAGACCAACTCGCACTCCAAGCCTGGCGCCTCTATCCTAACCGAATCCTCGGTGAAGTAGAAGAAGAGATCAGAACCTCTTTAGATGCCCTCGTTTGGTGTCAAATCGATCCCAAAGCCGTTGCTGATGTACTCAAATTCATGAACTACGATGCCACCAAAGAGTACAGTTCACCATGGATACTCCCTATCACAGCCCACTTCACACAGATTGGAATGCCAGCGAAGATCGTTCACGCAGTCACCGAGAAACCACTCAACACAGCAGTAGCTGACGCGAGCATTGACTTCAAAGCATCCTCCATCAAAGACGCCAAAGAGAACCACTGGACCGTCAAGTTCAATACCCTTCAGCTATACAACAACGGTTGTCGTAACCAAGTTCAAGGGCTCTATCGACGATGATACCGACTAACTCATCCACGAAACGGGACTTGTTCTGAGCGAATATCTCTTTGGTGACAATCCCTGTGATACCAAGTCTACGCTTGACTGTTTCCCATGATTCGTTGGTGACATCGTTGGGGATGTCCAGCATACGAGCTAATCGTTTTAGATCGGCATACTTGACTACGTTTACGTCATCGATTTCGACTGATTGATCGTAGTTCATTTCTTTCATGGGCGTTAAAAAATTTATGACCCACGAGATCACCCATCCACGAGATCACCCACACTCACCCACCCCGCTATTTATCGCTCATGAGGTATA